TAACCCAGGTGGCGCTAGTGGTAAAGAACCCACCTGCCAATGCAGGAGACAGGTCCCTGGGTGGGGAAGGTCCCCTGGAGAAGGAAAAGGCAACCCACTCCAGTATTGTTGCCAGGAGAGTCCCGTGGACAGAGGAGCCCGGTGGGCTACAGTCCGTGGGGTTTGCAGAGTCAGACACAACTGAAGCGCCTGAGCAGAGCACGGCCAGTTTAGAGGCACTTTCTCTTACTTGTGGAAGCAGATTGCGTTATATAGCTTAAGTGTTCCTCTCTTACAGAGATGCCATTGGAATTTTTTTTTTACTTTGTCTTGGTAACAATTCACAGATTCTAATTTTTATGAAAACTTTAGCAATTTGATCATGTCACTTATTAAAGGCATTACACTCCAACGTTAAAGTCTTGATCTTAAAATCCAGCAGTCTTTTCCTCCATTCGATTTAGAACTTCCTACCAAAAAATCTTACTTTGCTACAGAACACAGGCAACTGTGTTACACTTTGTTAATGGTCCAAACCCTGCACTTTCCTCTTGTCTTTGCCATAATGGATGTTATTCTTTTACACTAGTGTCCTGATCTGTATCAAGTGGACAGCACTGAAGGGATGAGTTCAAGTAGTTTGAACTCAAGTTTGAAAGGAACTCCTGTGGATCATACACAGGTATCTCCCAGCCTGATCTTCAGTGTAGCAGGAGGCTCTGAAATAGGATCTTCACAAAAAGAAAAAGAAAAAGGGATGTAAGTAAAGAGGATTCTTGTCCATAATGCAGTCTAGGTTACTAAGAGCTCATTCTGTGACACCCTTTGATTGTTCTTTACCAACAAAAAGTTCAAATGGAAGTCTGGCCAATGCCAATAGAAACAATTTAAATCACTTGTAACCCTCTCACCACAGGAGAGTTGACAGCAAAAACAAAACTTGGGAAAATGTCGAAACATAGATCTTTGATATTCTTGTCATAGCCAATATTCAGTATGTCTGTAGTTTACAGTTGGGGGGAGAAGAGGAATGTGTTAATTTTTTTCTTATTTCTGAGTACCAGTTAAACCAAAGGGGGCCTTTTGATAAGTGACTTTAAGCTCTGGTTTATGCTAAAACAGTTCCTCATTGCTCACAAAAGGACAGTATTATGGTTCATGAAAACTGATTTGTGTTGTATCTTCCAGGGAAGGTTAAGTGTAAGGAGTTCAAGCCTGACCTGAACTTAATAGTTCTTGTTTGGCAGGTAAAGGTGCTTAATCAATTTAAGAAGAAAACATGCCATAGAGTTCTGCTTAGGTTGAATTAAAAGAACTGATATACCATAGAAAGCTTCAGTTCTGTTTATTCAGCTGAAACTAAGATTATTTTCAGAATTTAGATTTCATGTCTTTTTCTGTCAGTATGTATAGCCCCTGAAGCCTAGTATTAAAAGTATCTTAAATGACCTAACCAAACATTTGTGTGAAAGCTGAATATTTTTAAAATGCAAACTTGGTTACACACTAATCTTAGTGTAACATGCAAACATGTTTTAAAGTTCTTTAGAAAATATTACTTAGGCAAGTAAGAGGATATGAACAAGCCCTGGAACAGCCAGAATCAACAGGACAGTCTGTATACATATGTACACTTCAGGTATGGTCTTTTGGTTTGTTTATGCTTTTGCTACATGGTCTTTGCAGTGGTTTAAGACACCAGTTATTAATAAACACTGCTCTTGTTAGAAGAAAAAAGAGGTGTATGACACAAGTGAAGTGGGTCCCCACCAAACACCTTACATTGTCACAAGTTTTTCGATTTGATCAACTAAACTTTTTCTTGCTCCGTGCATACTTTCACCACCATCAGTTATACCATTCCACTTCAGTTTGTACTTAGTGGTCACTCGACTTGTGTGAAATATTCTTACCTGTAGTTATTCCAGACTCTTAATAGAAACTAATTGTTTGGTTACTTGAAACTCAGCACAGACTTCTCAAAAGTGAAGAACAGCTGGGCAGTACTAATAACATGACTCATTAAGAAAAACACTCAAAATCATGTCTTGTTTGCCACAGTTAACTGCTGCCAGTGTGTCCCACTCTTCAAGTCACTTCTCATCAGAAAGCTGTTGGGTCTTTTCTCTGGATGTATTTCTTTGGGCTACTGCATTCAGACATGATCTATAACTCACCATCAGTAAACGGCTTTGCTTAGCTAACAAGTGGGTCACTTGTGAACAGACTTTGGTTACAGCTTTATTTTTGTGAAGAAAAGTCTGCTGTTATAAGATACGCCATTTTAAAAGTTTCAATTCTACTTCTGTTGCTTTCCCATGAGTTGGGAATATTGTGATGAATGTGTAGTCTGGTTATGTCAACATATGCTGTATTTTTTTTTTTAAGCAGTTACAGTGTCACAGTTGACTGTAATCTGATAATATAATCCACACTCCAATGTGCCTTAAAAGCACACCATTCAAAGTGCACTTTTCTTGTTTTGACACAGTGGGTATGAATTGGTAACCTAAAAAAAATAATAAAATGTGTGGTACAGAGATTCACATGGCGTAACAATTGCTGTCGGGTCATCATCTCTATCATGGATTTGTAGCACACCAGGCGAAGATGTGAAATGTTAAGAATGCCCTAGGCAGTTTCTGTAGCAGCCACTCAACCTTCCCTCTGAAGTGGAAAGATGGCCATAGACAGCGCATAAATGATGAATGTGGATACAATCCAATAACCTTTATTTATGGACACTAAACGTTGGATTTCATATAATTTTCACACATCAAGAAATATTCTTTTTTCCCCCAACTGTTAAAAATGATAAAATCCATTCTCATGTCACTGGCCAGACAAAAACAGGCAGCAGGCTGGTTTTGGTTGATGGGCCGTAATTTGCTGACTTGCTCTGGTAGATTTAACAGGATATGGTGAGTCCAGAATTAATGGTTTAGGAACATTAGAAAATGATCAAGCAAGTATCTTTGATGCAAAAGCTATATTTAGTGAGGGTTATATTGTTCTTCTTTTAGAAGTTATAAAATATATTAATTCTTGAAACCAAAACTGATACAAACTATGAAATTCAACAAACTACGTGGCTATTCAAAAGGCAATCTTTGTAATTATTTTTTTAAGGAAGTGAAGATCAAAAGAAAAAGAAATGAATTAGATACCTTCTGTATTTACTTTAAAAGGAAGCCACAGTGAGTTAGATCAAATGCATTTACTTTTGTCTTTCAGAATAAATGCATCCCTGGAAGGGGGATTCAGAAGTCAAGTCTTAACATTTGGTAGAGGTATGAATAAAAAAAAATAACCAAACACTGTTGTCATGTAGAAGGCTCAGGTTGATTTTTTTCAATTAAGACATTAAAAATCATGTAGTAAATGAGGCTAATTACATTACAACATTGTGGTGGTTTTTCCCATACTTCCACAATGAAATTACTGAGTTCTGTTCAGTTGCCCAAATTTAAAAACAAAAACCCACAATATCCCCCCAAATATTTCTAAAACAAAATTACCAGTCACCAACATATATAAGAAAACATTTCTGAAGCCTTTATTTACAAAAGCTTTAAAAACAAATAATCCCTCTGTTTCGCAAATGTTTTGTTTAAAAAGGACCACCCAGTTACAGCATTGAAGTATCATGAGTAAAGAATGTACAAGGGAAACAAACTAATGTGGCTAACATTTGGAGATTTGCTAATATTACTGATTGAAGTGCAGATGACACACATCATAACTTGTAGTCCGTCATTTCAGGGCAGTTAATGATTACCAAAATGCCTTCCTACGCATGCTCTGGTCTGGTCACATATTCCACATGGCTAAATATTTCACAGTCTCTTTTGTCAATATATATAAAATAGATTGCAAAGATATACACAAAAAAATAAACAAGCATTACACTCCTCAGGTAGTTTTATTAGCTATACCATATATAGCTAATAAATATATAATTTTGTATTATGTTGTTTTGCACCAAATTTCTCCATTTATTTATCTTTGTAGCAACTATGAAAGCTCGAATTTTTTGTAATTTAATTTGGTACAAAATATACCTAAAGACTTGGCAATCTTTGGATTTGAATGAAATTGATTTGTGGAATCAACAAATCAAGAGCATTGTAAATATGGCTATAAAATTTTTTAAAATAAGGGTAAACAGAGATGGAATAAAAAGAAACAGATAAGGGAAGTGTGCTACCATAAAATAACTGCAGCTTCAACATCTTGGGTACCAGTTTCCCGGCAGACATTAAATGTCCAATCACAAAGGATTTTTCCTGAAGGGTGTAAAGCTGGTTTGAAAAACACTTCAGTCACAGAGCAGCCTACACACATGCCAATTAGAAACTGACAGACACTAGATGTGCTTGGAAGATTAACTACGACGCACAGAAACAGCAGTTACTAAGCTCCTCAGTAGTTTTTTGTCTTTTCTTTTTTGTAGTCCTGCTGATTCAACCATTTGCACAATACATGTGCTATATTCCATGGGTCAAAAACAAGTAATATGGGAAAAGTTGGCAGATGGTCATTTTTCCAGCTAAGAGCAAGGAAAACCAAAACTGCTGATAAAACAGAGGATTTGAGTCAGAATCACTCTCTAAAGTGCAAAATTGATGGTCCACAATCTCAAATAGCTAAAACTCCTGCAGAATGGAAGGGAGACATGAAACAGGGAAATAAATTACAGTCAGTGCTAGTTAATTTAGGAACGGGGAAAAAAAAAAAGCTCAAGTAGGTGAAGTTTATCAAAGTATTCAATACCATGTAGCCTTCCCCACCCACACATGCCTACTAACAGGTGTATTTAAGGCCGGACTGAACCTGAACACTTTTCTGTTTGTTAAGATCTGAGATAGGAATGGTCATACTTAGTGCTGAAAGGCAGAAAAATAAGCTATGAAGAAAAAAAAAAGTAATGTCTACTGTTCAAGGGATTCAACCAGAGATAAAACCTATATACAAGCATGTGTGTATCTCAAATAAAATAAAAATAAAAGAACTATTTCATGTCATGACTGCTTGCTGGCTTCCTCTTCATATGCATTCCCTGTGCCATTCTGTACATAGGATGAACCAGAACCAAGGCCATACAAATGACCACAATATTTGGCATCATCAATATGATCTTCAAAGAACATCTAAAAAGGAATTTTGGAAAAAAAAAAAAAAAGATAATTTTAACCAAAAGGTACGACTGGTAATTTATATTTCAGCAATGTAAGTACTAACTGTTCCCTAACTATAATGACAGCTCTTATCTATGGTGCTCCTCTGAAGCCACACATTTAAATTAAACATATAAGACTGATGTTCTTAAGAAGTACAGAGTTCAAAAGAAATCAAAGAAAAAGACTACTAAAAACTATATAAACACAATGCCTTTCCTATTAACACTCAGACCATTTTATGAGAATTTGTAATAATGGGTCGGGAAGATCCTCTGGAGAAGGAAATGGCACCCTACTCCAGTACTCTTGCCTGGAAAATCCCATGGATGGAGGAGAGTGGTAGGCTACAGTCCATGGGGTCGCAGAGAATCAGACACAACTAAGCAACTTCACTTCACTTACGCAAAAATGGCAGGCATTTTTAGTCCATTAATTTAATAATACTTAATCATGAGAATGAATAAAAATAGCCAATAATGGGTTGGGAAAGGGGCTAAGGTTTGTAAGTAGCCTTAAGTCTATGTGAAAGGCCAAGACTTTTGGCTAAAAACAAACCCCAAACATGTCTGGACAGCAAAACCTGAACATTCACATTAGGTTATTATCCTTAATAAAGCCAAGAAAAATAAAGATAACAAATTAATAGCAGAGAATCCGCCATTAACCAAACCATCAAGGCATATTTTTAAATGCAAAGCTGAGAACACAAAAGGTTGTCTCTTAATTCTCTAATGGAGCACTAGTAAGATGTACAAAACAAAATATTTACTTGTCAGGAATACAGTCCAAATCACTTCTGAATCAATATCACTTGGCAAAATAGCTATATGCTTCCTATTACACATATTATTAATACTTTCTACAAAAAGTTCTAAATTCCCAGAAGTATCCTCAGTCATTTCTTTAATGTCTAAGAGGATATTCTCTAAAGAATTCTACAGTATTTTGCAAAAAGGAAAAATTTTTGTAAGCAAAACTGTCCACTGCTTTCTTTTCGCACAACTGGTTTTCTATTCTTTCCATTTATCTATTAAGTACACCTATGCCCGTCACTTAACCTAAGAGTAGACTTGGACTCATTAAATTTCATTTTTCTCTGTAACTGACTTCTTTACACTTGAAGAACTTATCTCTGCCTTTTGCCTCGGAATGTCTGCCCAACATGATTTTTGACTTAACTACTATTTCAGATTTATTTAACCTCTTTAGAATGCAAAACCTCTTTGTGAGAATCTACTAAACAGCATGAGTCCTACTCTGTCAAAGTACTGAAGTACGGCAAGAATTTAATACCTAAGAAAAGGCGATGCCAGGGAAAACTTAATTATATGGATTCCTTGACTTGACAGAAGCAACACTTATGTGATTAACAGGAAGTACTCTGGAGTTCCCCTATTAATGTGTATGACCATGGATAGAAGATACTGGCCTCTAGCCTCGGCTTCCTCATCTAAGAAATAATATGGTTGGACCTACATGATTTCTAAGGTAGTTTAAGTTTCGTATTCTACTAAGAATTTATTTTCTTCTTTTCCTTATGAACTGTATTTCAAGATGACTCATTTTTTATTACTTTCATTCAAGTGTGGTGGATATGACTTATATGGCAACTGTAATTATAGATATAATTAGTGAAGATCACTTAATATGTACTTATTGCCCCCCAAACTTTTGCCATTATATTTTAATGTTCTCAACCTAACAACCAACTGAGAAAAAGGCACTGATGTCTTCATACTTCTCTCATTTTGAAAAAGGCCATTCCTGTGAGCAATGAGTCAGATCCTGCCTGATGCTGTGGTCCTATCCGTTCCAGCTCTAACTGTTCAGCAACTTCCTGTAAACCACCCTAAAAGAAAGAAAAATTGCTTGTCAAAAGAAAAACATTGCAACATCTGGATTCAAAAATACATAACATGCACAATGATCAAAACAGCAATGAGTTTCAGGAAAGATGGACCTTATGAAGATCAGCAGAAAATAAGAGAATGTGAATCAATGATGCATTTGTTGAATTGTGGGAGATGTTTAGAATTCAATAGAAAATGAGATCCTAATTGGGAAAATTTATCTTCATCATACACTTTAAGGCATGTGATGGCAAGTAATTTCCCTCAAGACATGGGGGAAGCAGATCATATACAAGGCAACACGGGCTAATGTTTACCAAGTACACTCACAGGCCATCTCTCCATCCATCAATTCTTATAAAATGGACTGTATGCAGGTACTTTATTATAAATTTTCTTAAGCTTCATCTAAAAAGTTTCATCTAAATAATTTGCACAAAACAAAGCTGTTATGACTAATCAATCCTTGACTATAGTTTTTGTTAGTTAAAAAGAAAGAGTATGTTGTTATGAGAATATAACCCTTTAGAAGGGTCTGCTAAACACCGACCTATGTAAATACTGCTAGGATTAGAAAGGAAAGATAATGAGATTGAAAGAAAGGAAGGGAAAGAATAAAAGAGAGAAAGAAAGAGGGAAAGAGAATAAAGAGGGGAAAATGGGAGAAGAGAAAGCAAAGAAACAAACATCAGGACCAATGACAAAATGCACACAAAGACATTTCTCTCTAATCTGTTAGGGCTCTACCAGCAAACTAGCCCTTTTCTACATCACAGCTTGAAACAGTGCTTTGCACAGCAGTTGCTTCAGGGCTAAAAACAGCACAAGGATTAGGTGTCATTAGCAGCTGCTCAGGAGAGCGCGAGTCGTCATCCAGTATGGCTGACTACACGTCAGAAAGTACCTTTGTCATCAACCTAAATTTTAACACTGACAGTTATTCAGGGCATATTCAGAATGTCTAATATGCTCAGAAAATTTTCAACAGCATACACACAATGAATAATAATTTGGTTCTCTGTTCGCTCAAACTGTCAATATTCAGACACGTCAAATTTAAAGAGTATTTTCACAGCCATATAAAAATATTTAGGCCTTGGATTCTCAGCATGCAATACTTTCAGCGGATATCCTGTCTAGAGACATGAGGACAGCCTACTGTAAGTTCACCTGAGTCACAGTAGACGTCTATTCAAATTGCACAGAATTCTGCTTTTCTTTGGTGCTACAAACATGAAGCAGTATTTCTTAAAAACTTCCCAGTTGTATGCTATATCCTGTAATGAGGTAAGCAAACTTTGGCCCAAAGACTGTTTCTCTTAGGATTTTCAGTTCATCTGTCAAAAGCAAAGCTTCCTTAGTCAATTCCTAAATTATTTCTTCCTACATAAAAGTAAAACTCTTTAAGTTTTCACCATCTCCTAAAAGTATGACTCCTTGCACTTCTAAAAAGCAAGGGAAGAGAAAACTTGATCAGCCTTGATAAAGATTCCATGAAGCAACAACTTTATGTAAATATTTTTCTAGAGTTACAGCTTAAGCACGAACACACCTGAAAAAATCAAACCACTATATTCTTTCGGAGTCTGTACCCCTATCAGTGAATTCACTCTAAAACTAAGAGCACTTTTCCTGATAAAGACACTTTCTTTTTGAAAGAATTAATGCTCAGAAGTAACAAATCATTACACACATGGTAATAAGCATCAGAATGCAAGCTGCTATTTAGATAGGATCTACCCAATTACCAGCACTTATTACCAACAAGATGATGGCCATGGGCTGGTAGTGAGAAGGAAAAAAAAAAAAGAAAAAAAAAATCCCTTTATAGGAACATGACCCTATGACTAGACCTGAGAATATAACCTCTCACCAAGATAAGCTGAAGGCGTAACTCTTTTTGCTACATGACTGACTAGCTGCACACTGCTGGTCCCGAGACTTCCCCTTACATGGGAACACTATGTGTTGGGAGAGAGGGAGAACTTTCATTTCTGTGTCAGAGTCTCAGATTCTGTGCTAGTTCATGTTCAACGTGGCAAAAGAATGCTAAGAATATGATCTTTGGTTTGAATCTTGCTAAAGCTTATTCTGCAAATATATAATGAAGCTTTGAATAAGGATTTCTTATAAACTATTTTTATGCAAAAAAGGAATCAGATGACAATGTATAATCAGATAATGTGCATTTAATATAAAACTTAAAAATAAGGTTTAAATCAACATCCAACCCAGCATCTTTTAAGTCAGTTACCCACTCTACATAGCATGTTGATTACAAATTAAAACCATTTAAAGACTTACTTTGAGATTTTTGCAGCTCTTCATGAGGTACTTCACATCATAAATGACAGGAAAAAACAATCGAAGGATCTCAAAGAAGTCAAGTTCTTCTTCAGGCAAGTTAGAGTTGGTCAGGATTTTGATTAAGTAGCCAAAGTCATAACCACTATGAGAAGGTTAAAGAATAGAGAAGAAGGGCCATAAAAACCAAAGAAATGAAAAAAGTTTTCTTTCAATACAACTTTTAAGTGAGTCACACCATAAACGGGAGACGAAAAAAGAAATGAACCAGAAAAAATGCACAGAAGAACAGAGAAAATAAACACATTTACAGTTATAATGAGGAAATGCCATCATTTACAGACAGTGATGAGAACCTGCCATATCATCAATCAGGAATATCAATATATAAATCTCTACAACTATCCTACAGCTGTAGTCACTAAACTACTATTTAGCAGATCCTTCAATAGAGAAATTTCTAAAATCAAAATGTCCACAGCAGATGTCTCAAAAAATAAAGATGAAAGGACACTTGGCAAAAATGTCAAAGACAGCAGAAAAACTGGCAATCAGAAGACAAAAATAATGCATATCTTTCCATCATTTATATAATGCAGTCATACATTTCAAAAACCCAAAGAGTAATTCCCTACCAAAGTATTTTCACTTAAGTAATTTTATAAAGAAATACTCTCTTCCCTCAAAATTTTGTTCCTATCTCAATCCCCCAGAGATACTAGTGGGAATGTTGTACATGAAAGAAGTGAAGCAAATAAAGGCTAAGAACTACTATCTAGAGAGCAAAAAGCCAACTCCACATACTCATCAAGATCCTGTCCCTGTCGTCTGGCCTTTTCACAGCTTTATACCTCCCTACGTTCCACCCCACAATCACACCCCTTCTCTTCCCTGTCAATTTTTTTCCTTAAGACCTCTCGTAGGATGCCTTCCCTTAAGAGCCCTGCTCCCACAGATTTCTCAGACAAGCTGTTTTCTGTACCACCATTTTAAAGCACATGTACTGTTTTCTCCACTTTAAAGGGCAGGTGTCACATCTTGATTTTTTTTTTTTCTTTATGACACATAGTTGGGACTTAAATATTTGATGAGAAAGGCTATTTAACATACCTTTGAAAGTGAGAGTACATATAAAATTTCTATTTAGTGTTTAGTTTTACTTCTTACTTCAAAAAGAGGGGGGAAAAAGCTGTAACATTGAAAACCATAAGGAATATCAATATATAAACAATAAAATCAGAGATTGTAGCCTATTTTGTAACTTAATTCCTAGAATCTTATCAAAGTGCTTAACATATGGTAGATAACAACTATTTTTTTGATGAATAAATGTTTTCATTCTAAGGCTTAGAAATGTTAACTCTATTTATTAAATAAGTAAACTTGTGTAATAACACAGATTCCAAATGGCATTGCTGGACTTAAACCAAGGTCTGTTTTTGCAGCCTACACCCTTTCCACTATGCAAGACTGTCTGTCTTAGTCTGAAATGGATCCCACATCACTAAATGAACCTTTAAGGAGACCAACATTAGCCTGTTGAGCTATACTGCAGCCAATTCTCTGCAGAACTAACCCTGAAATGCTGACACCATGACCCAAGTCAATGTGAAGCAGCTGGAAAATGGTAACACAAATACCACGTGCAATGCAATCTTTTACCTATGAAATGATAACCATTTGACCCCTTCACAGAGGACTACTCCTGATGTCATAAGAAGTTCTGCAAAGTACTGGGTCTCAATTCCTTCCTCCTCATGTTTTTTAAACTGGATACCAGATGTTGTGAGCAGCTCTATAGAGTCTTGGGCATACATGTCCTCCCTGGCAGGAGAAAAAGAAAGACAACATTGAAAAGTGCCGTATTTCAAACTGTGTTTCTCCCACTGACATCTACAACTACAGTACCAGAAATATCAAAGAAAATGGGCCTGAGTCCATTTGTTCCAACATTTCATATATATGGAAGGTAAATAGAAAGGTCAACTTAATTTTAGAAGAATGTTCATACAGCAAATTATCATTCAAAACAGTCCAATGGTGAGATTTTAATCTTTACTATCCATCTCATTCATTAGCCTTTCAAAAATTAAGTAAATTTAACTGGGTTCAAAAAAAAAAAGGTCTTCTACTCACCACAGCTACCACCACAGAGTAACAGACATGGTCTTATCCAGGCTTTCAGCCTCAGCAGCCATTTTAATGCTGCCAAGCAGAGCTGCAGCCACAGGGGTGAAGCCTGAGTCTGTCTCCCAGGCTCTTAGCGGAGAGAAGGGAAAGAAACTGAAGGGAAAAGTCCTGCTGGGCCTGCATTAAACCACACTGCACCTTAAAGGAGGAGGACTTGCTTCCTCTCACTACCCATGAGCATCTCAAACGGTTCCGATCAGCAGTAAGCTGTTTAAAATTAAAGACTCTGCTGGAGCAGCATTAATTTCTTCTTCTAACAGCTTACTCCTAGAAGATTACCTCTCAAATATCAAGCCAGGATATCTAAATATAAACCAATCTTTCAAGATTTTACTTAAGCCAGAATGAAAACCATCTTTAATATCTAACCACAAGCACACAGGTATCCAAAATACTATACTAAATCAAAAAAGTGATCAAAATGAAGGTATGTTTCTGAGAATGAAAAGTATTTCATGCAGTGCCCACTGGATGTTTCTATTTACTTTGAAAATTTTGAAAATACCGATTTCTACCACTTAGCAAAAGAAAGTTCTATAAAAGCTTTAATGAAACTAAGCCAAAAGGAATATTGCCTTTGAAAAGGAACAAAACTAGCAAATGAAATATTTAAAAACAGGAACTGCAACAATTAATCGTAAGTCAAAATTCCCTGGAAAATTATGCCAGAAAACTCTTTCAAAAGGATATCTGAATAAACCCAATACAAGTTTTTTCAATTACACAACAGATATTACTGTCCTTCTTATACTAAAACACGTACCTTAAACAAGTAGAATCTCACTCGTCATGCCCAGATGCTAAAAGACATGCTCTAGCAACTATAACCAATCAAAGGCATAAGAGACTCCTTCTCCAGGCTCACATTATTCTGGGCCATATGCTCACTTTACTTCTATGATCTCTCTCTTAATCACAATTTAAGCTTGAAGAGGGCAATGATTTTTGTCTGTTTTGTTCAATGTTATATTACCAGGGAGTACTGCACTATTTAAATCAGTATTTCCCAAAACTTGCCCAATGATAATAATCACTCAGAGAACTTGTCAACAATATGGATTCACAAGTGCCACACCTGGACATACTGGATCACCATCTCCAGGAGAGAGACCTGGATGCGTAACTCTGGTGTTTCATGATCAAATATCATATTCTACTTTAATTTTCATGTACATATCAAGTCCAAATTCACTTTAGAGCAAATTCCCAAACATTGATCAGTACCTAACAGTTCTAATTCTCGGATTTCAGAAATAGAAAGCAGACAGAAGAGTTATAATTATCATGACCAACTTTCCTCAACATTATGTCCCTGGGACCTAGAACAGTTGCTGACAGATTCATTCTAGGAACTCAATAAAAAAGTCAACTTTCATCTTTCTTCAAAATATTCAAGATTCATAGTGGTCTTTCTCCACATTAGGTAGAGCTGGTTTTATTTTCCAACTGACCCTTTCTACTTCAATATTTTTCACTACATCCTTAAAGATCTCTAAAGATATTAACATTAGGATGAAATGCAGAAAAACTACAGCATGAGTTTTGCTGTATGAGGAAAAAAATGTCTTTCAGAAAATGCAGTAACAAAGCAGTTGTTATACGAACAAAGATGTATCTAGAAAGGAAAAATGTCTATTTTACCAAAACTGAGACCCTGATAGGTCACCTCCTACTCACGTACTGAGATCATAGCACTACCTTAGTACAGAACAACGTTCTGATGATCAGCTTGGGAAAAAAGTAACATAGAGCAAATGGAATGGTAGAGAACCGATTTTAAAAAGGGCTACCTTTTGGGAAAAAGATAAAAGGGAATTTTCAGAATTAAAGGACTTATATAGAAGATTATTATCAGTTTGAATAGAGATAAGTAACTTTCACCCTTGACAAAGTTCTGGAGAGTATATTATTAAATCCAACAGAGTGAAAACAGAGTCAGGATAAACATAATGCAATTAGAAGCCATACTATTACACCACTGACAACATTATCCTCTCAGCTCATCAGCCCTGCTTTTCTTTAGATCTTACATATGTTAAGTATCACACTACAAAGAACAGAGGTCCTTAAATGGCACTACCATCAATTGGGGCTTCTCTAGTGGCTCAGATGATAAAGAATTCGCTTGCAATGTAGGAAACATGGGTTTGATCCCTGGATCAGGAAGACACCCCTGGAGAAGTGAATGGCTACCCACTCCAGTATTCTTGCCTAGAGACTCTCACGGATAGAGGAGCCTGGTGGGCTACAGTCCATGGGGTCACAATGAGTTGAACAAGACTGAAGGGATTGACCACCACCACCACTACACCATTAATTGTCCTACAGCTTCATTTACTATTTTGCAAATTGGCTGTTAAGATCATATAAAACAAGCAGAGACTGTCAAACAGAAGGATACTGTGGTATACTAACATACTCAAAATGTATTCAGCATTTCCCCATCTTACAGTCAGTTTGTAAACCATCTGCCCTCACCCAAAAACACTGGAAACTTCCCTAAGCTATCAAGACTACTCTCACCCATGATACAGAAGTACTATAAGTAAAGAAACTGGGTTGTGACCCAGGACTTGAGGTGGAATTCAGATTCCAAATTGTTTCCTAAAAGAAACACCAGGCTCAAGGATACTAATACTTCTCCCATATGTAACCTGTAAAAGGCTCTGTGGGTGGGCTGACCCAATAACTGATTTGAAAGGAAAATGCACCCAAGTTTCTAGGAATGATCTTCTTATCACCTCTGATGAGCCTCCTATTTACACAATGGGCTATGACCATGATAAGAATCTCTTCATGAGAAGGTTAACTTTTACAACAAAGACATATGTATTTCAAATTGCACACAAAGTTTGCAAGCAAAATTAATGCTGTAAAGTTATCTTTTTTCTATCAAGAAATATTTTCAAAACCCAGTTTTCAAAATTTCAAAATAGTGGCAGTTATGCTTTTCAAGTAACAGCTCTAAAACTCAAAGTATCTGAATTTAAGTCTTCTTTATCCTGATTTTTTTGTCCCATAATAAAAAGAAGAAACATAAACTTTTGAAATTTTAGGTTTTAAATATTTCCAGGGTAGCAATACCAAATTTCATTTGTTGTACCTGATGGAAATTAATTTCTAAAATTAAACTAAAAAAAACAAGTTTGGGTTAAATTTATTTCCTACTTACGTCAAATTAAATTTAAAGTTAAACTGCCAAGTTGAAGTTCCTGGTGGGTATTCTCCTTGCTCATTCATAAATGTCAGTCCTAGCTGAATTATCTTTAACAAGTCTACATTACACCGCAACAGTTGGTACTGATAGTCAGCATTGCTCCTGAATTCTCCAATGGGTCTTGCAACCACGCCTGGAAACTCGGTGTCCTGTAAAATAGTTTTAAGGGTCATTACTTACTAAATGGATAAAACCACAATCCAAAAATTCCTAGAATAATTAATTTTGAGTACACATTGAAGAATCCTGTTATGGGTGATATTCTACACAATTCATGTCCAATTACAATGTACCTTTTAATTAGGAAGAGTACTACTTTTTAAAACCATAAAACCACAAACTTAATGACTTCATCTTACTTTAAATATCATATCAGTAAAAAATTACCATGTATAATGTACACATAATAAATGCAACTAAGTACTCTATTCCCGAGGAAGGTGGAAGAAAAAAATTACAAATTCATGTTTCTCAACAAGTATGTGAAACTATGCTCTCAGTATTGTAATATTAAAACCAATGAAGACGGTTAAAAAGACTAAAAAATGTACCATAGTTTTTAATTTCTTCTCTGAAGTATTTAGATAAATACCAAAACCCTCCTACTTTCTTGGCCTAAAACAGTACTCTCTATACTCCAGAGAAAGCACACCCTTAAAGACTGCATGCCACCACTCATTCCTGTAGAATGCTATCACATGTCTAAAGTTGTCACTGCTTTCATTTGAGAAATAAATGATCACTATGAATTTCTATTGGAAAAAAATAACTTCATTCTAATTATGGATAAAAAAATACATCTAATTAAATAGAACATTTAATGTCCTATCTGTGTACATGTCCTATCTGTGTATCTGTGTACATTCAAATATTCATATTTTAACCAACCAACCTGCCCCTCCCAAAAGAGGCATATTTATTTATTTGTATTAAATATGCTAAGAAAATTAACATATCACTTTAGTAGTAAAATTCAAATTAAGAAACTAAGAACAAAACCTAAATTTCAATTATTATAAAGAAGGAGCGAAATGGAAACTTTTCTAAATTCAGTCAAACTCAACAACTTGGATGCTATGTATTATGCTAAGTGTTGGGGGGAGAAAGGATGATTAATACACTAAGCTCTTTCTCCTCAAAGCTAATAAATAATCTAGAATACAGTAGAGAAGTCAAAACAGACAGTGCTCAAGAAGCAAAAAAATTAATTAATTGGGTAGACAGGCGAGGCAGAGTGAACAGTATATGCAAAAGTAGAAATGATTAACACCACAGTGTGTTCACAGAACTCTACTGGTAATTAAAAAACAAACAAAAAACTACAGATCAACAATGCTTCACTGAGAGATCTGAATTTTTTTGTTTGAGAAAGACATCTAGGAGCTCCATCTGGTATTAGTATCAGGCCTTAGTGTTGCTAGGAGCAGACCTCGCATTCACAGCTAGGTCCTAATGGGTCTTCTGCTGAATATAAACAATTTCACACCATAACATCACACAAGGCCAGCCTGTAATCATAACTGAACATACGCAAAACCACACACGTTGTCCAAACCATCAAAATGATCAAACCTCCTTCTATCTTAAATAATGAGTGAGTGTTGCTTCTTTACAGCTTTAGCCTCACTCTAGTCTTCTCTCATGCTAGTTGAGACTCATTAAGATATCCTATCATGGAGTTACCCCAGCTTCCCAACAGTTCACAGCAACACTCCACTTCTTCACTCCCTTCCTAAAATCACTGCCACAGACCCCAATTCCTAGAAGGCCTCTCTAACACTCGCAGATGCAAATAACCCCATGGTTCTAAGAATGCATTTTTCCCTCAATGCAATGAGTAAGAAACCCAACTTGTCACATTACTGGTGCGTTCTTGGTGGTCTTTAGTTGGGAGGTCATTGACAAAATTATTTTCATTAAACACCTAGAAAAAAAAATCAACCAGGAGGGTTGAATTCAAGATGTTTTAAAATCCTCTTTCATAAAGGCATTTTAAAGATTTTGCTCATAGGCATACCATAGCAACATAATTATATTTTCGGATAACTTGACGAATTTTCTTCATCTCTTCATCCAGGTTGCAAGCCCAAACTTCACAAATTCTTTGGCTATGATCTACAGTTGCTGCTGGCATAGTGAGGGCACAAGGAGTCTAGCTGCCAAGCATCAAAATGTTATACTTGATTGAAGATTTGTTTCGTAAATACTTTATCCTTTATTTGTGTACCTGTCAAAATAAGAATCAGTTATACCAAGAATCTGAATCACACATTGATTGAGTTCATAGAAATTTAAGAGATATTTATTTGAAGTCCTTGATTTATGAGAAAATCAAAGTTTAGGACGTGACTTTGTCTAAAGTCACACAGCTAATCAGTAGGAGGAAAAGGAAAACACAGGTCTCCTGGTTCTAACGTTAGGTAAAAAGTGTTTTCTGCATACACACTAATCATTTTTAAAAACTTCCCATTAATTAAAAATTGCTCTGAATTCAACTCACTCTCTGAATAAAACTTTATAAAGACATCCCTTTTCATGTAAACATGAAAAGTGACATACTGATACACGTGACAAGATCAGATGTTACTAGGGCAAAGGTAGTATTAGTACTTGCTTTTATTCCTAATTGAACATTCAAAGTCTGATTTAACCACAAAATTAACCAGAATTTATTTAGGTCAGATGGGAGGGGCCAAAAGTAAATAATTTTTTTCTTTTAAAAAGTTCTTTCTGAGCAGTAAAGAACAGCCACAGAAACTGTTTCAATGTCTGAAAGAAGGGAAGCGATAGAGTCTCTGCATTTCAAACTCTTTCTAATTTCCTAAAAATCCGAGCATTTTCCCTGGTTACCAAACACACATGTCACGTTTCTGGTCCTTATAAACACAGGTTTCATGGTAACAGTACAGACCAACATTTTGGTTCTTGAGCGGGTTCCAGATCCTCTTTCGCTTTTCACACAAGTTTGAAAAAACCGTAACAGACAAGTGTAAATGGGAGTTGTGACCTCTCCTTATAACGCTAGTCACAAATGTAACCTCGAGTGCTCTAAGAACAGAAACCAAAGATCGAAAGGCTACTCCCTTTATAACCCTCTTTGCTCGGCTACACACACACAGACACACACACACACACACACAATTTGGAAAGGCCCTGTCGTTGAACATTGCTTTCCTCCACCTCGCTCTCTACTACACTTCCAGAAGACCCGAAAAGGCACCAAAGGCCTTCTCGTTACTGGAGGTAGCCAACTCCGAACATCGGGTTCCCAACGAAACGCGAGGACAGTACAGACACATTCAAGTCACAGATAACTCTCTTCCCTGGCAGAGAGCCAGCGCGGAGGCTGCTGATAACCACTGACTGGAGCCCGATTGACTCCCAAGCCCCGCCGCGAGAAGGACTGCGAAGAGCTTGACGGTCTAGGCCACCGCCCTCCACTCCCAATTTCCGTCCCGCACCACTGAAGCCCCAGGTACAAAGCCTTCGCGTCATCACCCCGCGCCTCCCCCTCGACAGACCCCCTAGCCCTAATTACCCTCCCCCACGCCACCCGCCGCAGGCCCGTCCCTGCGCCCGCCGCGCTCCAGCTGGCGCCATCGCGCACCCTCTCAGGTTCATCGTTCCCGCCCCCTTCCTACTTCCCCAACCCGCCCTTCCCCCGCCAAGTCTGAGGTAGACGCGAGATCTACTTGTGTCGCTGAGCTCGCGCTCCTCCTCCTCCTCTTCGCCATAGAGACAGCACCCAGCGGCGGCGGCGGCGGTGGCGGTAGCGGCGGGTGCGGCGGCGGGTGCCCCATAGACACCGCTCGCCCGGCAAGGGGTAAAGGGGAGCCGGAGCTTCGCCGCACCGCGCTGCGCTGTCGCTTCTCGCGCGTCCGGGCGGGGGCGCCGGATGATGACGCCATCCGCAGAGGGGGCGGGGCACGCAGGTGACGGAGGCTGAGGCGGTGGAGAGTTAAAGTGGTCCGGCTGTCTGACTGGCTGGTTGTGGCGTCAGGGCCGCGAAGGTTAGGACCGCCGGTCTAGAGCGGCGAGTTCCCTTCTCTTCAGCTGCTGTGCTGACAAGACCATGCCCCCCCGGCCCCGAGGACCCCACGCCGGGCCGGCTTAGAGAAGACGTGGCTGCCCAGCACTTGGGCCGGGCCATCCCTGCCTGCTCCTCCTCTGTCGCTGCAGAACGGCCGGGCTGAGCCGCTGGGAGAAGCAGGCCAGAGCCTTCCGGGGCCTCGGCCCGGGGACCCGTGGAGGATGAGCTGGCTCTTTCCCCTGACCAAGAGCGCCTCCTCCTCCGCAGCTGGGTCCCCCGGTGGTCTCACCAGCCTCCAGCAGCAGAAGCAGCGCCTGATCGAGTCCCTCCGGAACTCACACTCCAGGTGACTAGTCGCTGCCTCTCCGACCGGAGGAAGAAAGTAGGGCGGGAGGGCGGTATGGTGCTAACCACACTCGCAGCTCCTCAGGCCGACTCCCGCCAGCTGCCGCCCTTTTTTTGGACATATCTCCCTTGGTCTTGGGTCTCACGCTTGCTCTCCCATCCCTGACCCACGTTCAGGATTTCTTCCGGGACCCCCTTCCCACCCTCCCGCCCCACCACTATTCAGCTCCCCTAATTTCGACTTCCCTCATCTCCCTTGACACACCGCTGACGACTGCAATCCGTCTCCTGTCTTGTCTGCAGTATGCCTTGCTGCCCGGCTTCCTCACCAATCTTTCCTTTTACCCACCTGTTTGCCGCGTTGGCCGAATTGTTAAAATTCTGTACTTGGCTAAAAAGAACTGTGAAGAGTAATCGGCAAGTTTCACAAATAGTGGGCCATTTTTTGGAAAAAAACTTTGAACCCTAAAGGAAGGGGAAAACAGTTTTCATAAGTGAGTTCTCTTGTGGAAGTAACGTACTCAATCCTCTTAAGTCTCTAATGGATTTACCCTGTTCATTCTAACCCACCTCCCCGCAGCTAGTAACTATCAGTCGGTTCATTTCTCACTTTGTGATTCTTGTTTCTACACTCAGGAATTACCTTCAAGTCATTTTGCTTGTTCTCCTGGCGTTGTTTTTGTTTCGTTTTGTTCATTTGCAACGTGGTCAAGTTAGAAATATTTTGCAATTAAGATTATTTCAGCTGTTTTTATTGCACGTATCTGTGACCTCTAGTGGTTTTAAAAAATTAGGACAGCCTCTTTATATGAATTCAGTTCAGTTCAGTTCAGTCGCTCAGTCGTGTCCGACTCTTTGCGACCCATGAATCGCAGAACGCCAGTTATGCAACTGTATTTACGTGAGTGTCAGCATGTATTTTAATGGAAAGATCAACATCTTAATAGACTATTCATATATTTGAAATAAATATTGAGATATTAAAATCGATTAATTCTAGGAGCCATTTTATGTGTTACGCTAATTTTTTTCTAAACAAGTTATAGAATGAAATTGTTTTAAATTAGGTGTATTGTTAAAAGAAAAAAATCATTGCAAAATCAGTTTGGCTATAGTGAGGCCTGTTGCTGATTGAACTTCAGGTGTTCCTTAGTTCTTTTTCTCAATTGTTCTGCTGTTCAGAACTTTAGAAAAGTGAGAATTTGTGGTATTAAACAAGAAAGAATAGCATGGTGTTTGATTTAATGGTAGCTTTCTTTTTGGAAAATTAAGTTCATAGAGTTCTTAAAAGTCAATTTGACTCTGGTTTTCTCTACTAACCTGTAAGAGCTACTCTTACAAAATATGTTTATAAAATAAGGATACTCCTTTTTAATAAACATAACGAAAGTTCTCACCTTGGAAGGTTGTTTGTTTACAATTGCCAAAATACTTTCTAGAACCATACCTTTGGAATTAATTGCTTTTAAGCCTTGGGATATTCTGTTAGATAGTCTCACATCTGGCAAATTTTGTTCTTTGAGGTTGGAGTTGAATTTTCAAATATTCCAAAGTCCCTTGCTGCTGAGGGTGGTAAATAAGGGAAGTGATTGATGTGAAATGTATTGTGTATTTTTCTGTGTGTGCCTTCCAAACAAAGTTAGAGTTGAAGGCAGGAATTGCTAATCTAAGAAATTCTGTAATTGGCTTAAGAGGATCAGTAAATACCCTGAATCAAAAGCAGAAAGGATCTATTTTATTTGGTTTTTTTTTTGAGCCAGAAATTATGGACATATAATTAGACTTGTGACATTATCTACAGTATTTTGTGATATTTTATGAACAGCTACCTTTAATTGCTTTGGTTCTTTTAATTTCTTTTATAAAAAAATTTTAAGTTTTTGTTGAACTATTTCACATTTATAAACTATACTTGGATAATTCTGGTGACAATCAAGTAGGTCATGTACTTGGCAGTTTTAAAAGAATGGTATGGTCCCAGAAAAAAATTTCACCTATTCTTGTTAAGTTTGCCCTTTTAACTTCTGGCATACATTTTAAAACTAGCAGGTAAAAATGAAACATCTGTGCAGTATCTGACAGTATGTTGCTTGAGTAACCAAATTCAATACTACAACTTAAAGATTTTTGTACAAAAAGACACTGCAATTGGTTATTCTGAAAAAGCACTCTGGAAAAGTTGAAAGACTGTTTCAAATGGTGTTTTACTGAATACTACAAAACTTCCTCAGTTATGAATATTAACGTATTGTTGCACTCCGCCCACCTGCCTCATGTTTCATACTCTGTCCCTTTTCCATTTACAGGGTCAGTAGCTGTTTCTCTGACATCAGTGTCTCACTTTTTTTCTTCTCCTCAGTAAACTTTCCCCACCCCATTCACTCATCTACCTTCCAACTTCTATTTTCTTTTAACTGCTTATAATTTTTAAAAAATGCCATATCAGGAAAGAGTCTCTTTAATTCCCTTTCCCTAATTTAAACTTCTTTTTAGTTACCTTAAGAAATTCTCTTAAGTCTTATTGGTGAGGCAGGGCAAAGGGAACACTGTCATAATGATGACCAAAAACTTGTTATATAGTAGCATGTTTCTGTCTGCTCTGAAAATGGAAACTGGAAGTTATGTAGATTACTAGGCTCAAGTAATATATGCCACTTTCTAAGTAACAGTCATCACAATATTCAGCTTGCCACTAAATTTCCTGACTTTATGGGGCAAGAGTAGAACTAATTCTGTTGTCTCTTGTACTTCCTAACGAAGCTTACTTTAAGCCGCACTGTTGATTTCCCATCTAACTCCATTCTTCTGATTTCTTGGAAGAACATTGCCTTTTTGGGTTCCTGGTCTGCAGGGCCACTTCTTTAATGGAGGCCCAGCCCCTTCAATCTCTATGGGTAAATAGTGATCACTCCAGTGATGATGGTCTTATTCCCACCACTAGTTATTGTCAGAAACTTGACCTAATCTTGGTCAGTGGAGTTGGAGATGTCTTTTGGGGAGCTACTCGAAACATTTACTTAGTAATAGAGATGTCTGAAAGGAAATACCTCTTTCTGTTTTTGGATATTGTTGTGTTACAGGGGATGCCTGGAACTGCTTAGATCATGAAGGAAGGTAGGCTGACTACTGGATGTGGTAGAGTAGAAAGATGGAAAGTCTGTGATAATATTGTGATACTGAATTAACCAGACCGGGAACCTTCCTGCCTCTAGACTTCTGTCTGTATAAGGTTATACATGTACATTTGTCTTACACATACAAATAAAGCACACATTTGAACTGACTTTTCAATTACTTGGAGTTCAAACTATCCCAGTTGATATACACTAATCCCAGTATTTAAAGATTCTTTAGAATTGAAGCTGTTAAGTATCTCCCTGCACTGCATCTGTCAGAAAATACCAGAATTTGATGGTAAATCAGCAGTTACCATCCTACTATCCTGGTTTTTCCTCTCTCACAATACCTAGTTACTTAGCCTCTTTATTATTTTACTTCCTTAGCTCTGAAACAATAGCCTGAAGCTGTGCTGTGAATGGTATTGTCTGTAATTAACTGCAAAGATTCAAAGTTATACAAATAGTTTCTTTGTTACCTTTTACTTAGGGAGATCAGCTCTCTCAAATAAAGGACTTCTCCATTTTAATAATCTGTTACGTGATAATTCTGGTGATATTTTTATTTTATATTCAAAAAGAAAATCTATTTTGGGAGTTATTATTTGCTTTAAATTTGGGAATTGCTTTCTTCTTTTTCACTCTGATATGAGGTGCTAGACAAAATGAATTTGAGGAACATAAATGCAAACAAGCAAAAATTAATGACCTCAGGAAAAGCAGCATGACTTAGGTGAACTCTAAGCTTTAGTTCCTATCTGTAAAATCAGGAATTGGGATTTTTATCCTGCAGAATTGTTGATATTTAAGTAACATATATAAACATTTATTAGAGCTTCTGACACACAGTAAGTAGGTAACATTGTATTCCTTCTCTCCACTGCATGGAATCAGTGTGCCTGCAACCTTTGCCTCATAGCCTACTGGATCTATCCAGCTTATTGTTAATGAATCGCTCACAAATCTCCAGTCCATTTGTCTCTGGCAGGGCTACTTCTGACTTTCCATTCAGAAAGCAAGTCCATTCCAGAGAGTTTTTCTTCACAAATGAAATGTAAAATTTAATTTCGAAAGGTTTCAGACAATACATGTAGAGAGACTAGAATATTATCCAACTCACACTAAAATGTGTCTATAAATGCCAGCTATTTTATATTTGTATCTTAAATATAATGGTAACATTTTTAAGATACAATTAAAGATATAATTGTATCTTAAATACAATAGACTATCTCCATAGTCTATAAACATCATTTTGAAATTTTCTTTTGCTACCAGTCCTTCGATATTCTTTCTCATTAGCCAAATCTTTAAAAAGTCTGTAGCTTCTTTGTAGAGTCTGCTCCTGTATAGTTTTGTACTCTATAGCTGTTTAGTTTAACCCCTGCTCTCAGGTATAAGGCTGTCTCCTGTAAACTCATGGGTTTCTGAGTAAGCCTAGATTCCAAACTTTTTTTGTAGTTTTTACAGTCAGCTCAAAAGGACTCACATACAAACTTTATAACACAAAAAGTTTGTAATAAGAGAATATGTGTATATGTTTTAATCAGTTCAGTGCTGTATTTTTTTAATGGATCTGTTGTCAACATAGTGTGAGATTTTTTTCGTTAAAATATCCAAATTTCCAACTTTTAAAAAATAGATTTTATTAGTTAGAGTAGTTTTAGGTTCGCAGCAAATACAAAGATTTCTCATACAGACTTTGTCTCCTCCAACTTTTCTTTCAAAATAGAAAGATCTGGCAACATTTCCCACATAGCAGTATTTGCTTTGAGCTTAAGAGCAGCTGTCCTGTTTACTGGGCTTCTCTTCTCCATTTTACCAGTTTGCAGTCACTCCCTGTTGTACTACAAGCAACTGCCTTCATTCATGTACATTATCTAAC